CTGTTGTTTGCTTTCCCCCCAATCTGTAACTTATATACAGTATTTGTCTCCTAGCAGCACAATTATTCAACAAAAGTTCCAAGTTAGTTTTCCTGCACTTATGATGAATTGTTTTCATTTGACTTTTGGCATGTTTGCACTCATTCACCGGCCAATTGTTATCAAAGTCTTTCCAGAACAATATCTATTTGGTTTGGTTTTAAAATTTGCCCCTAGTGGTTCAATCGGAATCTGGAATAGCTTTATACCCTAAGTCAAGGGTCTCAAACTCAATTTACCTGGGGGCCGCTGGAGGCAGAGTCTGGCTCAGGCTGGGCCACATCAATTTTCTGCCCGAGGAAGGCGCCCAGGAGTTTCCTCAGCCCAGCTGGGGCTCCGAGGAGGAGGGGCGCGCGCAAGCCCTCATCGCCAGCCACGAACCCCTTCGGCTCCTTCTTCTCTACCACCACCAGCAGCAGCAGCAGCGGGATGAAGAAGTGGAGAAGAGAGGGAGCACCCACCAGCGACCGCCTAGCCGGAGGGAGGGGAGGAGGGCACGACATAAATTTTAAAAAAACAAAACACCCTCACAGAATAGCCTTGCCAAAGGAGAAAAGCCCCCATCGGTACCTGGAAAATTAAACAGAATGGGACGCCCCCCCCAAGGTGCACGTGCGCATGCGCGCGCGCACACACACACACACGGAGGTCTGGCAACCTTCCTCTGAAGGCCCCCCTCCAAAAAAGGAGGCGGGCTGGCTGGCAGGCTGCAGTTCTGGATGGAGGGTGCAAGAGGCACTGCCTTGGAGGAGAACTGGCGAGCGAGGCGAGGCTTTTTTTTTACTCTTGACAGCAGAGGACACGTGAGCACTTCGGGGGGGGGAGGCAAGGTGGGGGCCACAAACGATTGTCCAGCGGGCTGCAAATGGCCCCTGGGCCACATGTTTGAGACCCCTCCCTAAGCAGTTTGTCTAGAATGCCATATATTCTTTGGTCTGTAGCAAAAGGGACAGGACAAGAGCCACTATGGGTGAGCATTTCATTCTCTTACTACAAGTTACTCCTAGATCTTTGATGGGATTAGAGTGTGATCCTAATTGAAGTTTATTGTGTATTAACTATGCAAGTATCGGAGTCCAAGATAGCATGTGATCACTTATCTCTTATTGTCACACCACCCTCAGAGCACACAATCCCATCTGGCACTAACACTCACATTCCCTCCTTTCATAATACACTACAGTATTTCCTTTCCAGCCTGGATACATGTTTCTAATACAACAATGAACTTTCTTATGAGCTTTGTTTTTTCTTTGTTCCGGTTGCTTCACTGAACATTCCTACCCCTCTATAAATTGGCAAGAGATAACCTGCTAATTACGTGACTATGACTATGCAAGCATAAATGTGGTTACAATGAAAGACTCATGGTTAAAATGCCTGATAGACTGGTTTATAGTTATGACCATGTAGAATAGAACACTGACATATTTAACAGCCGAATTCTTAATCCAACTCATTTTCATTTAGGGCAGGTCTGCTAAATAAGGGTCTGAATTTCTGGCTCAATAATGAAGCACACTACTGGAATTGTAGAAACTAATTAACAAAAATTAAAACTAAGTGCCACAGAGCTGTGTCCACACACACTCGCCTCAAAAACTCCCACTGTTCCTGCAAGGCAGAATCTCTTCTGCTGGCTCTGCTTTCTTATACTTATACAGAGGGGAATGACATGTGGCTTTTCCTTTTCTTATACAAACATTCTGAAGAACATGCTGAGACTTCCTCCTTTCCCACAAGCATCTGCATTTTCTGTTCTTTCCAAAAAAACTCCTTTTCCTTTCCAAGTGCATATTTTTGTACTAAATATCTGGGTTTGCTTTCCTTTCTTCATAATTTACTCAGTAAGCACTTTATTTTATTTAATAAAGATAAGCAGATACTGTCAGGAGAGCAGCATCTTATTACCTAAGCTTTCAAGGCCAGCGTTTAGCTGGAGTGGGTGGGTGGCCTGAGATGTTACAGGGACGAACCCTCTTGATGCCAGAGGGATAGGCCCCAGTGATGCCACAGAGACAGGACAGGCAAGGAAGAAGGAGAAACTTGAATCTGGGTAAAATTCTATGGATCTGGCCATCCAGAGTCATAAAAAAGAAAGAAAATGCAGCTTCTTGGTAGGGAAAAAAGAAAACACAATTTCTGGGCAGCCAATCAGTTAGCAAAATGCTCCCACCAGCTGCTGCAGTTGCTGCCATTCTTGTTAGGGCTTGCCTTTTTGACTGCCTTGTCTGCAGCATATGTGACACAGATGGAGTTTTTCCAGGCCATATGGTACTGCTAAAGATTACAAAAAGCTCACTGCTAGCCCATGCGTAGTGGCACTAGGTGGGAATAAGTGAAGATGGGTGCCCAAGTTTGAAATCCATCACAAAAAAAAAAAAAAAAAAAAAAAAAAAAAAAAAAAAAAGAACCAGTGATACCCACCAGTGATACCCACCTTGCTTGGAAATCCAGGGAAGCACATAAATTCTCCAAGACTGTGAACAGAATCCTGACACTTAGCAACTCTATTCTTTATACCAGTGATTCTCAACATTAGGTAATCCAGGTGTTCTTCTACTGCAACTCCCAGAAACTCTTGCCAGCACTGTTGGTGGTAAAGGCTTCTGGGAAATGCAATCCCAAGAACACCTTATCCAAGGGAACCACTCCTTTATTCCCATTAAGCAAATAAATGGGACGAAGGTTGTGTCACACCTACAGTGATGTCACTAGCAGAATAGAAAAGGCACACATAACAGTACAATCACATTGCATGCAGTACACTCGGGAGGAAGAGGAAAAAAACAGCAACCATTTTATTCAGTTTGTTTAACAGTTTATATCCTTCTGCTATGAGGGATCAACCTTCCTGCAAAAAAAAAAAAAAATCTCAAGAGGTAGTCACAGCATGTACAACCCACATTCAGAAATAACCAGTACCTTTAAAACCCTTGTTTTATTGCTAAGAACAATGTTTTGGAGGAAACATTCTTTAAGAGGTATTTATTGGTTAATTGTCATATGTCACACAATTATTTCCCCCAAGATTTCGGGCTCTTCAAGAAGATGAGACAATTTTCTGAGCCTGGTTCTCTCTAATTTTTCATACTATTCTGATGGCTTTCATTTTATTTGTATATGAATCCCACCCATCTCTCTCATCATTTGAAGGAAATCTAACAATCAAGCTATTTTGCTGGGGCACCACATTGTCTTAACCTCTATCATAAACAATAAAACCAGCTATGTTTTCAGGCAGAAAAGTGGTTATAGTAAAAACAAAAGCAGATCCATGCAGAAGGATTAAGCTTTTAAAAAGAACATGCAAGTTCTGAAAATGATTTTTAAAGATCACTCACTTTACCCAGATTGTCGCTTGCAAGGCAAGGCAGGGAAGGGAGTGGCAGCCATGCTAAAGTTACATAACTGCAGTCCTGTTTCTCTGCTTGTTTTGCCCTTGGCCATCAGATGCAATGTATTACACTTTAAACTCCCTTCCCACATACTTTGCTTCCCAAATGGCTGAAAGAACAGCGTTTCACAAACTGCTGGATGTTTCATGTATGATGGTTGTTCCGTTGGTAATTTATTATAATCAGGCTATAAGCACTGGGTTCATATTAATTGTTCTCTCTGGCAATACTGTAGAGGTAAACAGTGAAATGTCATTCTTTCAAAATGGTGGTGAGCCATTACCACCAGATCTCATGCTGGGCAGATAAAGAGACTTTTCTATTACTGTAATCTGTGAAGTTGTATCAGTATTGCCTGAACAGGATTCAGCCTTGGTCCATGTTAAAGGAAAATCACAGGACCCTGTTCCAGATGAAAATATAAAAGTCTGATCATTTTTAAAAATTTTTTAATTTCTTACATAGATGTGATTAGCGCTAGATCACCCTATTGCTCGGTCCTCGTTATAATTTCCTATAATTATCTCAAAACAAAAAAAAAACTGGCAGAAATAGGACCAGAGTAAAGAAGAGTGGCTGTGGACTGAAAGGCAAACTGCATCCAATATGAGGGGGGTAACTCCAATCAATCAATCAATCAATCCATAGCCCACGTGAGCACTGACTGTAATTTCCCATGGAATACCGGCGGCTGTGAACCAAATCCCAGGAAATGGCTCCCAGATACAGTGGGGTCTTGACTTGAGAACTTAATCCGTATTGGAAGGCGGTTCTCATGTCAAAAAGTCTGTAAGTCAAGTCTCCATTGACCTACAGTGCATTGAAAACCGATTAATCCCGTAACAGGCCGTTTTTGTTCCATTTTGGTTTTTTTCTGGTCTGTAAGTCAAATCTCAGGCTGCAAGTCAAACCTAAAATTTTGCGGCCAGAGAAGTCTGTAACTCAAAAAGTCTGTAAGTCTAGGGTCCACTGTATCTTTCCACTGTAGTTGCACCTTCGTGGCGTAGTAAAGGGGAAAAAAAGTTAAAGCCACCACTAGCAAGAACAAAACTACAGAGTTGGGGGAAAGAGGAGGGCGTCTCTGGGGTGATTCGCATTTCCCTTGTGTCATGTGCTCAAAAGGAAAAAAAATGCGAATCAGCCCATCCCAAACCCGAAACATTTCCCGCATTTTTCCTCCTATAGTTTCCAACCGGAGCCTTGTGATCAACCTGGAAAGAGCTGCCCGCCCCCTTCCCCGACCGTGACCTCCGAGTTCCCTGGGGCTTCACCCTTTGCCCAGTTTATTTTTATTTCTCTCAATTGATGCTCCTCTTATAACTGTCGCTAGCAAGCTTTGGGGGGCGCTCTCGAGTCGCCTCCCTTGTCACAAATACACCCAAAGCACACGGGGCTCCGGAGTCCATCCCTCTCCAGCCGTCCTCCCAGGACAGC